AAAAAAAAAGAAAGAAAGACAGAAAGAACTTAGATAGCTGAGCACTAGGAACACACTTCAAAGCCAGCCCAGGTAGGAAAGTCTGTGAGACTCTTATCTCCAATTAACCACCAAAAAATGGGAAGTGGTAGAGCACTAGCCTTGAGCAAAAGTTCAGGAACATCACCCAGGCCCTGCTCAGGTCAAGCCCCAAGACTGACAAAAAAAGGAGGGAGGGAGGGAGGGAGGGAGGGAGGGAGGGGGGAGGGAAGGAAGGAAGGAAGGAAAAAGAAAAAGGAAGAAAGAAAGAGCTCAGGGAACTCCTACTGCAGCTATAGAAGATCTCCCTAACCTTCCTTCTTGATATGTGCTAGCCTACCCCTCCTCAAAAGGGATACATCCTTTTTTTGGACTTTATACCTTAAAGAGGAACACCTTTTGGTTCAGAGGCCAATAGAGAGCTGCATCCAGGTTGGGTTCTACCCTGTTCAGTTTCTTGGGGAAGCCAGGAGCCATCCTGAAGTTAATGTAGCGCCACACCTTGTTTCCTAAGAGTGTGTAAGAAGAGCAAGCGCCTCTGTCAAGTGGACTTCTGAAGTCCCTCTAGTCCACCCTGTCAGAAACTTCTCAATTCTCCCATCCTTTTAGGGTTTCTTTTTGATGAAGCCATCCCCAGATCACACACTGCACCTAACTAGTCCCCTTACCCTTAAAGAAGTGAATCCATTGAGTTCGAGGAGAGTATACAGCAGCATCCAGGTTTCCTGGGAGACCTTCCCAAAGGGCAGATATTCGGAACAAGGGACCCAACCCGGTATTTGTCACAGTCCACACGTAGTCCCCCTTGAAAGCATATGTCTTCCCATGGGGTCCTGTGAACAAAGTGGTGCCAACAAGTCAAAAAGACATGGTCAAAAAGACAAAGACAGGGTAACACAGGTGGACAATAATAGGTCCCACTGAACCCTTCCTCCACCCCAGACCAATTTCCTTGTGTGTGTGCTGGTATTGGAGCTTAAACTCAGTCTAAGCACTTATCTGTTTCACTCAAAGCTAGCATTATACCACTTAAGCCACAGCTCCACTTCTGGGTTTTTGTTGGTTAACTGGATAAAAGTTTTCTTAGACCAGGTGCCAGTGGCTCACACCTCTAATCCTAGCTACTCAGGAGGCTGAGATCTGAGGATCACTGTTCAAAGCCAGCCCAGGGAAGGAAAGGCCATGAAACTCTGATCTCCAATAAATCACCAGAAAACCAGAAGTGGCTGTGGCTCAAGTGGCAGAGTGCTCACCTTGAGATGAAGAGCTGAGGGACAGTGCTCAAGCTCAGAGTTCAAGCCCCAAGATGAACACCAAATTTTTTTTAAAAAAGAAGAAAAATTCAACTCAAGGAGGAAATTTAAGGCAGAGAAGGATGATCTAGTGTTCAGCCTCTTCTTTGCTGTTGAGAGCACTTAAGTTCTGGTTCACTCAACAAAACAAAAGCACTACAGACAGCTGCTCTTCCTCCAGGTCCTTATTACCCCCCAACCCCCTCCAAATGTCTTCCAAGTTCTTCCAAGCAGAGGCAAAGCTTTCCCTACCAGACATTCCAGTCTATTCCATCTTGTTGCATTTCCAGCCAGATGCTCTCTAATGTCCCTTATATGGTGACATCCTTGGTAAATTTTTTTTTTTTTTTTTTTGGCCAGTCCTGGAGCTTGAACTCAGCCTGGGCACTGTCCCTGAACTTCTTTTGCTCAAGGCTGGTGCTTTACCACTTGAGCCACAGTGCAAGTTCTGACACTGGCTTTTTATGTTCATGTGCTACTGAAGAATCGAACGCAAGACTTCATGAATACTAGGTGAGCACTATACCACTAAGCCACATTCCCAGCCATCCTTGGTAAATTGTTATCTGGCCCTCTTTTCATTTGATCCTGAATCCTCCCTTCTCCTGTCACATGGCTTCTTCCATGTACCCATGACTACCTGCATTGCTCATACTACAGTCCCATGTCCTCCCCATTATCCAGGCTTTGGCATCAGTGGGCTGCCCTGACTACCTGCCCACAGCCTGTTAGAGAAGGATCTCACCCAGCATCATGGCATCCAGTTCACTGCTGCAGGGGTTTGGCATGGGACCAGGTTCTATAGGCACTGGGGATACAATAGGCACCTCCATCTCTTCTTCTTCATCCTCTGTCTCTGGGGTCTTCTTGCCTGCAAAGTGAAACAGTGCTCTTAGAGAAAGAAGTCATAAAACATGGCCTCCCACCTACTGTAGGCTCTGCTCAGTAGCCCTGCAGAGAGGAAAAAGGGAACCTTAGCCCGTTTCCCTTAGTAGAAGACAGTATCACATTGATATCAGCAGAAGACACATTTTTCATTTTGAGAGGTACCAGAAAGGCAGAAGGAGGTTTGCTGGAATGTACATTCTCTATCTCCAAGAATAGCAATGAGGGAAGAGAAGCTTGGAAGGAAGATTAAACATAGAAGAGTCAGAAAGAAACAGTTCCTGAAATTGAAGAAGTCTGAAGAACTGGGTGAAGAAAGAAGAAGTCGTTTCCCTCTGTTAGCATCTTCAAGCCCACAGAGATGCTAGTTAGACAGCCCCTCATGTTCTCTCAAGAAAAAGACTGACCATACAGGGCTTGGATCCCAGCCACATCATCTGGGTGCAGCTTGAAGTAGGGCCTGTAGCCAGCATAGACAGGAGCCATGAGAGCCTGCGTGTATCGAGAGTGCCCAAGTCCCAGGGCATGGCCTAGTTCATGGGCTGCAATGATACGCAGGTTCACCCCCCGATAGGTCCCCTCAGTCCAGAATTCATCTTCATCAAAGTGTACACTGCCAAGCTCTGGGATGTCAGCATGGGCCAGAACCTTCCCTGGACAAAGGCAAAGGTGGACAGGAAGGAGGTTGAAGATCACTATGCTAGAGCAATACCTTGCCTTGTATAAACTCTAATTACTCCACCCCCTTAGAATTCTTCCTGGGCATATTCACTCTCTTAGATGTTTCATTCAGATTTCCCTGTGATCACCCAGTTCTATCAGGGATGGCCATCATAGTCTCTTAACCTCCCTAGCCATTCTCTTCTCTAGTTCATTCCATTTATTCTTCCTCAGGTGTCTTTTTTTCTTTTTTTTTGCTGGTCCTGGGGCTTGAGCTTCGTGCCTAAGCACTGTCTGAACCTCTCTTTGTACTTAAGGCTAGTGCTTTACTACTTGAACCACATCACCACTCCAGCTTTTTCTGAGTAGTTTATTGGAGAAAAGAGTCTCACCAATTTCCTTGCCCAGGCTGGCTTCAAACTATGATCCTTAGATCTCAGCCTCCTGAATAGCTAGGATTTCAGGTGTGAACCACCAGCGCCTGGCTAATTTTTTTGTGTGTGTTATTATTAGGGCTTGAACTCAGGTCCTGGGTGCTGTCCCTAAATTTTTTTGCTCAAGACTAGCTCTCTACCACTCTGAGCCACAACCCCACTGGTCCTGGGCCTCTAACTCAGGGCCTTGGTGCTGTCCCTGAGCTCTTTCACTCAAGGCTAGCTAGAACTCTACCACTTTAAGCAATACTTTTTGTTTTCTGCTGGTTAATTGGAGATAAGCGTCACACAGATTTTCTCTGCCTAGGCTGGCTTTGAACCGTGATTCTCAGATCTCAGCCTCCTGAATAGTTAGGATTATAGGTGTGAGCCACTGATGCTTAGTGGCATTATACTCTTGCCTGGCTTTTTTGCTCAAGGCTGGTGCTCTACCACTTCAGTCACAGCTCTTCTTCCAGATTTTTGCTGTTAATTAGAATTAAGAGTTTCATGGATTTGTCTGCCTAGACTACCTTAGAACTTCAATCTCAAATGTCAGTCTCCTGAGTAACTAGGATAACAGAGCTTAAGCCACCAGCCCTGGCTCAAGTATTTCTTGGTAGGGGAACTTAAGCCAAGGAAAGGAGACATAAGCTTTGAAGAGGGGGCTTGGTAAGATCCCAGATAGGTGACCAACTGCTCCTTTAAGGAATATTGGAAATGGGTCAGAGAGTATAGGTGCAAGTGGACATAAAGAAGAACCTAAATGCCGGGCGCTGGTGGCTCACGCCTGTAATCCTAGCTACTCAGGAGGCTGAGATCTGAGGATCGTGGTTCAAAGCCAGCCCGGGCAGGAGAGACCGTGAGACTCCTATCTCCAATAAACCACCAGAAAACCGGAAGTGGCGCTGTAGCTCAAGTGGTAGAGCGCTAGCCTTGAGCTGAAGAGCTGAGGGACAGCGCCCAGGCCCAGAGTTCAAGCCCCACGACCAACAAAATAAAAGAAGAAGAACCTAAACATTTAGGCTCCAGAGTCACTTGCTCTAGGAGACAGAGATAATCTAAGACTTAGCCAGACACTGGCGGCTCATGCCTGTAATTCTAGCTACTCAGGAGGCTGAGATCTGAGGACCACAATTCAAAGCCAGCCCAGGCAGGAAAGTCTTTGAGCCTCTCATCTGCATTTAACTTCCAGAAAACCAAAGTGGTGCTGTGGCTCCAAGTGGTAGAGTACTAGCCTTAAGCAAAAGAGCTCAGGGACAACACCCAGGCTCCTGGTTCAAGCCCAACAACTGACCAAAAACAAACAAACGAACTTTGACTTCTGTAAGGTTAGAGCTGAGAACTGGTACCTACCAGGCCCATCGAAAGTATTGGAGCAGGTTGGACTTTGACGGCCATGGAAAGACAGTCGAATATCAGCCCAGCCAGCTTGTACTTCCCGGAAGGTCAAAGGAGCCACATTACTCCAGTACCTAAAAGCTTGAAGCAGGGCTGCACGGGCTTTATAGGATGAGATGGAAGAAGGCAGGTTCAGGATGCGAAAGGTCAGGTGCTTCTTTCTCCAACGGCCTGGAAATGAGCCAGAAAATAGATTAGAAACAAAGATCCTTCTGCGAATTAGAGCACCAGATTCTCCTCACAACACTGGAGAGCTCTCCTAAACAGAGACACTCACCAACCCCTCTCAGCAGACAATAACCAAATAATCACTTGGTGATTATCCATCCATTCAATACTGAACTGGTGCAGGCTGTTTGCTCTAAAGTTCTCGTTCTCTCTCTCTCTCTCTCTCTCTCTCTCACACACACACACACACACACACACACCAATGACACATTGTCCTCTCCTCTCCCTCCCTTGACAGACTCATTCCTCACCCAAAAGCAGGTATTTAAGAGTCTTCTGGTTGAAGGGATCCTCCAAACCACAGCGAGGCTGCCTCATTCGAGCCTTTGTGGCCTCATCCAGCTGACCAGAGACTGGCAGCTCAGATGCTTCCTGAAAAGCTCTAGAAAGGGAAAAAGGGATGAATTCACCAGGGCAGGCAAATCTGGACTGTTAAGGGACTGGGGACTAGGGAACTCTTCTGTCTCCTGCTACCCAAAATAGAGACCAAGATAGGCATGGAATCTTTGAAGCTGATAGGGGTCACTCCATCCTCCAATTGTCCTAAGTGGGAATTTCTTTCTTTTTTTTCTGTAGAAATGGCAACACTTATCAACTTCTTGTTTCTGTTTTCAGTATTTTTTATTTGATTAAGAGTGCCCTCAGGTATAGCCTTCTTTCTAGACTTCTCCTGCCCTAGGGATGTATCTGGGCCCCCTGCTCTAAAGAACCTCCCTGCGATGCTCCAACCAGAAGGCTTGCCCTTCCTAGGCCTTCTCTCTTCCTGACTCCACCCACCTCTTAGCTCAGCCTGCTCTTGGGTAATGTCATCAACTGATGGACTACTATAGGGCTTTTGGACATATCAAGAATCTCAACATTCCTAAGAGCATAAAGAAAAGCAGCCTCTTGCTGGTGGTTCTTGTCTGTAATCCAAGCTACTCAGGAGGTTGAGATCTGAGGATTGTGAGAGGAAGCCAGTGGGTCAGAAAAGTTTGTGATACCATTATTTCCAATTCACTAGTAAAAAGCTGGAAGCAGAGGTGTGGCTCAAGTGGTAGAGGGCTTGGCTCTGAATCAAGTACTGATCCACAAACAAAAGAAAAAAATAACCCCCAATGAAATGTCTAAATTAAATGTCTAAAAGGTATCATCATATCAACATCTCAATTCATAGTTTTATAGGCAAATTATGTGAACTAGAAGAAAACATGGATATAACGTGAGCCCTCTAAAGGAATGTTCCAGGCCGAGGCAGATTCAATAACTGTACTTTTCTTCCTTCCTTTCTTTCTTTTTTCCTTCCTTCCTTTTTTATTTCTTTTCTTTTGACACAGGACTTGCTATGTAACACAAGAGGGCCTTGAACTCTCAATGTGCTTGTGTCAGCCTCTTAGCACCAAGGATTCCACCCCCCCCCAAATTTATGCTTATCATCTTGAATCCCTGCCTCAATCCATGCACTATGGTCTTAACAACCATAGCACCCATCTAAGAGATCCTCAGTGTGACTTGGGTCAGGCAGAGGTGAGCCTAAGGAGAGGAAGAAATCATTGAGATCTCAGCTATCAAAGCAGGTTTGTTGTGACCTCTCACCTCAGAGCCTCCATGATATCTTCTGGGCTGAAGTCATCAGGTACTTCTAGAGGTTTCTGTAAGTACCCATATTGCAATAGATAATCCTGTAATAACAGGGTAGAGGCAAGCAGAGTACAAAGGGGTTAGTCACATAGTAAACCTTCCAAATGGCCTCACAGACCCATCCCAAGAAGAGGAAAACAGATACAGGAGGAATGAAAGAAAGGTGCATTGGGGAAGGGGCTCAGGTGAAAAGAGGGGAAGGAGAAAAGGGAATGGACAGGATAGATTGATCACGGCATAGAAGCAAGGAAAGGCAGTCAAGTGGAAAGCAGGGCAGAGATAAAGGAGCCTCTGGAGTAGGAGCCCCTGTTATTCCCCTAGCCTGGGACCTTCCTTCCCAGGGGACTCACCACAGCTGCCTTCTCCTCTGCAGGCCCCAGGGCCCGGCCTGAGACTGTTATTGGGAGTAAGAGGCCCAGCCACAGCTGCTGCCAGTTCATGGTTCCAAGAGACAAGAGTGCTAGAGGCTGTCCTGATTCTCCGAACTGGGATTTCTGGGAGTCTGGGGAAGCAGAGTTAGACAAGGGGCTTCTTACCTCCAGCTCTCTTCACTCTCAGACTCGGGTCCTCTTTATGAAACAGCTGAGGGGGATGGGGGGTGGCACTGGGGAGGTGACTCAGCCCAGGGATGTGTTGCAATTCACCATTAACCCTTGCCCTACCAGAGGGCAAAAGCCCCAAAAAGCCCCTGACAACCCCCTTTCCCCTCAAAGTACTCTGCTGGACACCAGATGACTTTTGGAACTGCTCTGAGTGAACTTCCCGGCAGGATGAGAAGTAAAAATCTCTGAAGATCAGAATAGGATCAGTGTTAGCCTTTGGAGTTGAACATTCCTGTTTCCCAGGGAACATTATCTGCTCTTGCATAGGAAAACTAATTAAAACAAAGAGGTAGAAGATGGCCCAGAGGTAGCTTGGGTTTCAGGTGAAGGGACTAAGGGGGAGGTCCATTTCTTCTCCTCCAAGATCAAGTGGAAATTAAAGAAATAAAGTTTTATTTAGAGACAAGGTCTTATTTTTTAATTACTTTATTGAGATTAAGTGATTACACAAACTTCACAATATTGTGGGATAGTGATACTTAGCTAAAGTCATAAACACATTCACAAGGTGAATTGTCATCATGGTCTATAAAGCTTGTGAACTCTACAAACTTTGACAGTACAACTATTTCTTCCGAATAGGATGATCTGTACATTTCTTTCCTTTTGCTTAGTAGAGACAGGGTCTTCTTATGTAGTCCTGGTTGGCCTGGAACTCATGATCCTCCTGTCTCAGCCTTCTAAAGGCTGGGATTATAGGTCTGCACCACTACTGCAGACTCAAGAATACTACTACACGGGACTGGGAATTTGGCTTAGCAGTAGAGTGCTTGCCTAGCATGCATGAAGCCCTGGGTTTGATTCTTCAACACCACATACACAGAAAAAGCCAGAAGTGGTGCTGTGGATCAAGTGGTAAAGTGCTAGCCTTAAGCAAAAAGAAGCTCAGGGACAGTGCTCAGGCCCAGAGTTCAAGCCCCAGGACTGGCAAAAAAAAAAAAGTAATAAAGGCTCAAGAATACTACTACTGCCTCTAGAATAACTGGGATTACAAGCACCACTCCTGGCTGTTTCTCTACAGACAGAGAGGAGAGAGTGCAAAGAGAGAGAGGGAGAGGGAGAGGGGGAGAGAGAGAGAGAAAGAGTCCCCTGGCCACTGTCCCTGAACTTTTGTGCTCAAGGCTCACACTCTACCACTAGAGCCACAGCTCCACTTCTGGCTTTGAATTGTTAATTGGAGATAAGGGTCTCATGGACATTCCTTCCCATGCTGGCTTCAAAGCACAATCCTTAGATCTCAGCAGCCTGAGTAGCTAGGATTAGGGCCTTGAGCCACTGCAACCTTCACTTGATTACTTTTTTCTTTTCTTTTCTTTTCTTTTTTTTTGTCAGTTGTGAGGCTTAAAATCTGGGCCTGGGCGCTGTCCATCAGCAGTTCAACTCAAGGCTAGCACTCTACCACTTGAGCCACAGCGCCACTTCTGGTTTTCTGGTGGTTCATTGGAGATGTTTCACTGACTTTCCTGCTGGGGCTGGCTTTGTACCATGATCCTCAGAACTCAGCCTCTTGAGTAGCTAGGATTACAGGTATGAGCCACCGGTGTCCAGCTTTGGCTACTTTTTATAACAGAACGTGGAGAAACAGAGAGAGTAACCTGTATAACAACATGGAACTTCTAACTGGCATATATCCAAATTCCTCTGATGACCCCATACCATTTACTCTTTCCAGACACCACACTTTTTTTGTTTTGTTTTGTGCCTGTACTGGGGCTTGAACTCAGTGTCTAGGTGCTGTCCCTGAGCTTCTTATGCTCAAGACTAACACACTACTACTTGAGCCACAGCTCCACTTCCGGGTTTTTTGGTGGCTAATTGGAGATAAGAGTCTCACAGACTTTCCTGCCCAGGCTGTTTCATATCACAATTCTCAGATCTCAGCTTCTTGAGTAGCTAGGATTACAGGAAGGAGTGAGCACCGGGCTCACATTAACCAGTAACGGTTTGTTCTTTGTATAGTTAAGGACAACTGAAGGTTCCACTAAGACATGCAACATGCAGCACTTGCATATTGTTTAAATGCACAGTGAAGTAGGCATAGGAAAGGGGAAAAGGTTATAAACTCATATTCTCAGTAAGACCTTACTTCTGAGCAGGTTGAAATGCTGGGAGGCCAGAAGAGGACCCCTTACCCTCCAGGATCAAAGCGGGGATACCCCTGATTCATCTTCTGCCCTCAGTGGTTTCATGATTCACCCAATACCCAGCTGGGTAACACAGATGACTAAATACCAAATGACCAGAGACAGAGAGCCTTTGAACAAGGATTGGTACAGGCTCCCAGCATGCTGGTGCACCCAGGAAATGATGGTGTTTGGGACACAGCTTCTGCTCTGTCCCTTATAGGGTTCTTTTTCATTCCTTTTCTCTATCTTTGTGCCCCCTACTCAGTCATGCCCACCCACTGTCATGGAAGGCCTAAGAGGTAGAGCATTTAGAAATGAAGAAGCCAGATAATGGATGAACATAATTCTAAAAGTTACCAAATCAGTTGTTTTTTAAATCTCAGTAACACCCCCTGCGTACTGGCCTTTTTACAGAGGAATAAAAAAGGCTCTAGGGGCTGGGAAGGTGGCTCAGTGGTAGAGCACTTGCCTTGCATGCATGAGGCCCTAGGTTCGATTCCTCAGCACCACATAAGCAAAAAGAAAAAAGCCAGAAGTGGTGCTGTGGCTCAAGTGGTAGAGCGCTAGCCTTGAGCTGAAGAGCTGAGGGACAGCGCCAAGGCCCAGAGTTCAGGCCCCATGACCGGACCACCTCCCCCCCCCCCAAAAAAAAAGGCTCTAAGAAGTAGCTTTAGGTCACACAGCTAGAAGCAGGAGAGTCACGGACTCTCAAACTATGATCTTTGCACATAGCTCTTCAGCCTCTGGGAGGTTCCCACAAACACCCAAACAACCGCCCCCCCCCAAGAGTTGCAGGTGGTCATTTATGCAAGGACTGTGTGACTAATTCTGCACACGAAGCATCATGACTATGCCTGCCGCCAGCTCCCACCACTGCCCCAGCTCTTTTTTTCCTCTGTATTTGTCATCTCTCACGAGGGGAGATATGGGAATGTGTACAAAGGATTAGTAACCAGCTTGTCCCCAAAAAAGAGAACTTGAATCTTAGAAAAATAACTCCCAGCTTCTTTGGTTTGCTTGTTCTGATTGCCCTTTCTGTCCACACATTATGGCAGAAGAGCTCATGTAGAAGTTATTTTTATTTGTGTCTTTCTGTTGACATGGGGTCTTGAAACCTTTTTTGCTCAGGCTGGCTGGAACCTCAGTCATCCTGATCTCAGTCTCCTGAGTGGCTGGACTTATCAAGGTGAGTAAAGGTGCCTGGCTTATAGAACGGTTTGTTGTTGTTGTCTTTGTGTCAGTCCTGGAGATTGAACTCAGGGCCTACGCGCTGTGCCTGAGATTTTTTTGCTCAAAGCTAGAGTTCTACACTTGATTCACAGCTCCACTTCCAGCTTTGTAGTGGTTAACTGGAGAGAATACCACAGACTTTCCTTCTAGACTGGCTTTGATGAACTGTGAGCCTCATGTTTCAGCCTCCTAAGTAGCTATGAGCCACTGGTGCCTGGCTAGAAAAAAAATATATCTATATTTCAAAATATAGTTATATAAATTTTGTCAGTTGTGGGGCTGAACTCAGTGCCTGGGCACTGTTTCTGAGCTCCTTTGCTCAAGGCTAGCATACTATCCCTTTGAGCCACAGCTCCACTTCCAGGTTTCTGATGTTTAATTGGAAATAAGAGTCTCATGAACTGTCCTGCCTGGGCTGGTTTTAAACCGCTACCTTCAGATCTCAGCCTCCTGAGTAGCTATGATTAAATGTGTGAGCTACCAGCACCGGGCCTAGAATTATTTTAGATTAAATGATAACAAGAAGCAATAAGACTTCTGAGAGTACTCCATAATGATAACTACCATGAGTGGAGGTTAAAAGTATGTGTACAGGTTTTCAGGACCTCAAGAAACCAATTTCTCTCTCTCTCTCTCCCTCTTCTCTTTTTTTCTCTCTCCCTTACCTTTTCCCTTTCTCTCTCCCCCTCCCCTTCCCCTGCTCTTTTCTTCTCTCAATCTCCCTCTTCCTCTTTTTTCTCTCACAAGGTTTCAGCTATATAGTCCATTCTGGCCTTAAAGTCATGATCCTCTCCAGACTCCAAAAAGACTAGGATTACAAGCTATGCCTGGTTGACAGCCATCTTTACCCTGTGGAAGTGAGCAAAGGTTGGAATATATATGTATATGCGCCAAGTTCAGTGAGGCTAAAGCAGTAACTCTGGGGTAGAAAGCCTTCTAAGTATACCCCAGGACCAGCATTCATTCCTCAGTACTGCAAACACATGCATACATAAATGGCAAGTCTTGGGCCTGAAACTAGGAACTGACTGTAAGGGATGAAAAAATGAAAGTTTGGACTAAGTTAAAGCTGATCAGAATCTGCCCTGGAAATACAAAAAGGCAGGAGGGAATTCCACTGGTTTGTTTTCCCCTCAGAACCCTGTGGTTGAGTTCTTCAGAATGTTACTTTGGAAACCTCTGTTTTTAAAAGAACTTCCCTACCCCATACACAAACACATTCCTTTAATTAGTCATAAGTTCCTAGAAACATATGGGAATTGATGGCAGGACTAGACACAGCTGGAATTGGTTAGTGATCAAGGAAGTGGAAGGGGCTTGGGATGATTCAGGGAGTGGGTGAGCACATTCTGCTTGCCTGATACCTCAGATTTCCTCAGACACACACTCCCTGACATTCTCACCTGTCCACTGTCTGCTCCCCCCCTCCCCCC